ATCTTAAACATCACTTCATGAACTCTTAATATATAGTTTCCTCTGGCACTTTTTATGTTCCAAAAATATGGCATCAAGAAACAAAAATGCAAGAATCTATGTGCAAAGTCAGTGTTTGTCTAAGAGGGGTTTTGGAAGCTGGATTGCTTTGGTTTGCATAGTAGCTGTCTCTGGCGTGATAGATCACGCTGGAACTCACCCAATAAGTATCTCTGTTCCCAATTAGAACTGGAAGTGGAGCTGCTTACGAGTGCACAGAGATGATGGTTTGGGTGGCAGCTGCTACTGTGGAGATGGAAATGATCCATTATAAAACAAATACATTGCACTGTATAGAAAAAGGGATTATTGTTTTTAATTTATGTTTCAAAGAGACACTGAAAAGTTGCTTAGCTCCCAATGCATTGTAAACCAAATGTAGCTTATTTAAGGACAAGAATTTGCAGCTATTTTGCTATTTTGGTGAATCAAAACTTGAAAAAGCCCACCATTTTGTATGATTTGTGAAAATGTGCTTCTTTTGGAGGCAGCAGTTCAATAGAAAGCAGATACGGGAATGACGCTGGCATGGGTGCTTGTTCAGATTCTACCATCACAATCTAAGGACCTTGATAAATAGAGAGGTTGTTTCACTGAGCTGGTAAGCAGAAATAACCATGTTAATTTAATCACTATGAAAGGGACTCTGCCAAGTTAAGAAACATAAATTTTAATTATATGCACACACACATATTTGAATTATAATACATGCACAATATTTAGCTGTGACACCAGTAATACCATAGTTTACTAAAACAGGAAGGATTCTTAAATAACATTATTTTTTCATTGGTGATTTTTGTTGATTTGACACTTCTATTTTGTATAGTTCTGACTAGTTCCTGCATCTCCTACATTAACCATGTGCTACTGCATTTGCAATACTATTCAAAAGGAAATTTATATACAAACCTTCTTAAAAATTTTATATAACGAATAAGTTTTAATTATAGTGCCTTTACTAGTAGTTATTACTTGTAATAAAGATTATGTTCTCTGATGTTGCAATGTTTGAAGAAGAGCTTGTGACACAAACTAGAAGTTACAATAGAAAGAATTTGGAACAATTAGTGGGAAGCAAATGTTATTACCTATATTTTAAAAGGATTTGGGTGTGATTCAAAGACCCATAAATTCTACATGAACATCTGAGAAATTGATTGAAACAATAATTAAGTATAATCAGGAAAGCACCTGGAAAATGATGATATAGGAGGTTCCAGCCAACTACTTTTTTTTTCCTACCAAGGAAAAGCATGTCTCACTAGTTTCTTAAAATTCTTTATATGATACTGAAATAACTAATAGGAAGAGGGGTCTGACAATTTTCTTAGACTTTCTTAAGACCTTTGGCATGTAATAGGCCTACAAAGAGAAACCAAGCATTGTCTTGGGTCAAAACTTTCGGAATAAAAGATAATGAAAGAAAGAAACTTTGTTATAGATAAAGGCTAACAACTGGTGCATTGAGGTTTAGTGCTTGGTCCAGTGTTGGGTAATGTATTAATGAAGAAGCTAGAGAGTGGCAATACCTTGTAAACCACAAAGATTTGCACATAGTACAAAGTTATTTAGAGTGATAGTGGCTGGGGAGGTCTGTGCTGGCCTCCTTGGGGAGATGTAGATGTGCTTGGTGAGTGGGCAGAGCGACGGGCATTTTAATACAATACCTGTGTGTTTGAATGTATTCCTTATGGGAGTTCTTGTTTCCATTACAAGGTTCCTAATTCTTCTGCTTAGTATGCAGCTTGGTCATTGCAAGACACAGCCTGAGGAGTAAGCTAAAGAATATTGTAATTCATTTGTTTGAATGGGATATGTGATTTCTTCTGAAAATGTTGGGTGCAGTATTGGTCTATCTTGGGAAGACTAGTGTGTAATAAGAGGAAGTTCAGAGAGGTTTGTCAGGACCATATGGAAAGCTTCCCCAGCAGAGTAATAGAAAAACTGTAAGTGTTTATTCTTGAAAGGAGAGGAATAAAAAGAAATTACAAAAAAATTTGTTCAGAAAGTTCTATTTTTCCTATCTCATAGCCAGAACAAGGGATCTGACAGTAAATAAAGTGAAACACTCCTTTCAAACCATAGCTTAACTGTTAAATTCACTCAGATGAATTTAATGATCCCTAGTAGTGTTTAACTCTTTCTGTAGAGTAACTGAAGTATCTTTTAAATTTTTGAAAACTTTAATCTCTGGGGATTCAAAAACTGGTTTGGAAACATAACTCCCTGTCTTCATTACTCTATCCTTTACAGACTAGCCATCTTCCAGGAAAGACTGAATTCATTACAAAGATTGAATTAATTACTATGTGGTCGTCTTTGGACCTCTGAAGGTTTTTAAACTGTAAACTTTACATTCCAGATAAGATAGCCTCTGCCATTTCCACTTTCTAGAGTTATTTAGGAGCAAAATGGATTCATAGATGCTACCAGTGGAGAATAAAATGTAGTTGAATGGCAGTCAGCTTAGTGGGCAAATGGGAGGCAGCTACACTGAGTTTATTTTTGCAGTGTTCCTTACTCACTAACTTAACTTCTTGATGACTCAATCTCCCCATTGGTAAACTGAATAAAAATATTACCTTACAACGCCTTGTCAGTGGGATGTTAAATTTAGTAATTAGAAAAAGCTCTGAGACTTTTGGATGAAAACTCCTCCTGGAGTGTTGCCGTTGGGAAGTAGCAGCAGCACACAGAACAAACTTGCATATTAAAGACAGCTACCCATTTTTGATATTAAAACCTACCTTTCCCTCTTGTCAAACTTAATGTTCAATATCTCTGGAACAAACAGGGAGTAGCTTTACCTTCTTATATGTTCTACTTATTCCTTAGCCCTTCCTTGCTCATTTCCTTTTTTAATGAATTCATTTGATGTATGTATTGGTATCCAGAGACAGACATAGTTTGTCACAGGGAAGACGTTTGTTTCCAATGCCCTTGAGCTTACTTGAAGCTTCTTTGCTTACTGAATGTATGATGACCCCTTGGGTTTTTCAGTCCCACAAGGATATACTGAGCAAATGCCCTTTTGCACCCCAAAACAGGACTTTGAAACCAAGCCAAGCCCACAGCCAGAGACGATTATGGAGATTCCTTAGTGACTTCAGATTCAAGTGTTGGGATTTGCACATAAATCAAGACAAAAATCCCTTCTTTCTATTTGAAATGTCTGGATCCAGAGGGAGGTACGAGTAGTTCAACAGGGAAATTCAATCTGTATGATCCTCTTTTGAATTCTCTGTCTTTTTTAGAGCTTAAGTAAGGGAGAAATTGGGGAAGAGGCCATAATGGGGTGGGTGTGTAGAGCTTAATGTTGAAAACAGAGGCCTGATTGAATAGAGCTCCTTGTGATGAGAAGGGGAATCAATTCATAGTTGATCCCATCCCATTGTGTGGGTTGTCCTGGGAGTTTCCTCTAAAATCCCAGTGATTTGGGTTTTCTGCATAGTTTGTAGTCAGCCTTTCCCTCCATGAATAGAATAGCTTTTCCTGGAATTTTTGCTGGATTTTCTGTGGTTATTGGCTGAGCAGTGCTCTCTCTCTTCAGAAGACTGGAGCAAGCATGTTGTCGAAGTACTGATCAGGGACCCTGAATCATTTGCTGGCTAAGAGTTTTTCATATATAGAACAAACATATTCCTGGGATGCAATTACCCCCAAGAAACAGATTATATTTTACTGTCCCAGGTGGAAGTGTTCATTCATTATTTGGATTGCAGTAGTGATTTGGGACTTTAAAATCCCATGAATTTCTGCCCTGTAGAATTTACAGCTCATGGTGATAGAAAGGACGGGAGTTAAAGGCATATTGGGGAACAAAACACAGTCCTAAAGGATGAGAAGTGGACAGAACTGTGAAATAAGGACACCAGATGCTGATTTGTGAGCATCAGTCCTGTACATTATTATTTGTAAATATATTGACCATGGGGAAGGAACTCATTTTAGAAGGGAGGGAATAACTGAGAAATCCATAGGTGGCATTGCTAGGTGAAGAGCTGTGTAGGATGTCTCCCTGTCATAGAGTTGCTCTGAACGAACCCCTGCATGAGTGGGGTAGTGGCTAGGATCTACAAGGAAAACTGAGTTTTTCACAAAGTGTATGTTAACACTTTGCTAAAATTAACGTGCTGTATTTGCCTGTCTGCTGCCTCATAATCTAGTAGCAGCATTTGAAAGGGAAATAAGGCTCTGTTACTTTGCTTGTACAGCAAGTTGCATCAAGCTTTCTCGTAAACCCACAGATTTTGGAGCCCAGTGCCTTCAGCCTGTTTCTGAGCCAGCCCTTGGCTCTTTCTGCAGTGGTTGGGTGTTGTCCTGTTTTATGGGCAACTTTGCTGACTGCGTTTCTTCACTGGTGTAGGCCCGTTTAAAGCCAACTGGAGATTTTATCTAGTCAATGTTACACAAAAATTCAAGGCTCATTGCTTTGTTTTTCTACGTAGGTTCTCAGTATTGGCCCCCACACAAGCTTTATGCTTTCCCACATGTGGAACATGCCCTGGTGTGGAAGAATGAGGGTTGAAGTTATGCTGAATAAATTGTGCCAGATGCTAACTTGCATTAAACTTTTTCTTTCTTCAGGAGATCAGTTTCTTCATCTTTTTTCTTTCAGTATCTTAGAAAGTCCTGGTTTTATTATTCCTTTGAAGCATAGCGAGTTTACACAAAGGAGAAGAATTCCCCCGTCCCCCCTTTATTTCCTCCTGATACAGTATGTCCAGTGGTTTTTTTTCCCTGTAAGCAAGCATACCAATTGAAAAGATATCAGGTTTTCAGTAAGACAGAAGTGAATCTTATATGGAGATCCTTAGTGGTTTAACAAACTTGAAGAACTCTCCTTCAAGATAGAAAAAAGCTTGAAAGTCTGTTAGTTGTCTGCTTGACATCTCTGTCCTTCTGCTTGTTAGCTCTTTTGGGGGAGACACATACAGTGAGTGTGTTTTGTTTTTCAGAAGTTGATCTGCCTCTGAAAAAAGATGGATTCACCTCAGAAAGTACAACTCTGGAAGCCTTGCTGCGTGGAGAGGGAATAGAGAAAAAACCAGACACTAAAGAGGAAGACACTATACAAGAAATCCAGGTAAATGAGAGCACCATGCTCTGACATCAGAGCTAGATTTTACCATTTGTCTCTAAGTCTAGCAGTCTTTTGTCCTGTGGCAGAACAGTGCATCTGTTGATAGATGCATTATTCTACTGCCAAGCCTTTGTGCTACTCTGTGATGCTCAAAATGAACTCAGGATCTCATACACTTGTCCTATCACAAGAATTTCTGTTGCTTGACTGTCTGCACAGCTCCTTTGTTGGAATTTGTTTTGGAGCACTATGAGATAATTACATATTAAACTGACAAGCAGAAATGGGTCCCAACTAGAAAGTGAATTTTAGTGCCTCACATTTAAAGTGAATTTGGACGTGGATTTGAATTTGGATTCACAGCTGCTGACTGTAGACAAAAACATGTCATTGCCCTCCCTGTTTTGTGGCGGGGTTTTGTTGGGGTTTTTTTGGTTGGTTTTTTTTGGTTTGTGGTTGGCAGTTTTTTTGTGGTTTTGTTTTTTGTTTGGTTTTTTTAATACTAAGTAATCTTCTGGAGATATACAAGAAAAATAATTTAAAAACTCGTAACCTTAATTATCTCAGTTATTAGTGATGCACGTATGAGAAATATTGCCTCTTCACATGCATTATGGTTTGAAAGTTATTTGTCAAGATTTCATTTCATCCTTCAACAATCAGAAGTAGAAATACAATTGTAGTTCTGTCATAGAAGGAATTCAGCTAATATAAGGGCCCACTTTTAAAGGCATCTTTAATCACTAGGTAAAGTGGGCCTCTCCTGCAGCAACATATCTTTGGTGATGCTAAACCACCACTGTGCTATGAGTCTTTTACAGGGATTTTAGTGAGAGTTATTAGCAATGTGCCAATCTTGGTAATTTTGGCTGAGATACAACGTATTGCATCTACTCCTAAAACTACTGGAAATTTGTGGGGGCAGTCCCATGCCAAATGAAACAAGAGCATGGGCAACAAATCTGTATTACTTGGAGCTCAGTCCTACTGCTCTATTTGTTAGAAATTTTGCATATGTAGGGGCAGCAAAATTAGCTCTCCCATTCCCAGTTACACAGGTAAAGCAGATCCATCAAAGAGGAAGCACCCCATGCTCATGGAGTGGAGAAAAGCTTGGCATGAGGCCTTCTCTGCATTTGCTTCTTCAGTAGTGTATCTGCGTCTACCAAGCTGAGAGCTCTAACCAAAGATCTGTTTATACCTGCTTCCTAGGCCACAAAAAGTCACGGTGCAGCATCCTTATGAGATTGACAAGTGTCTTTGAATGTTGCTGTGTGATCTGAGCTTCTGAATTATCCCCAGCAGCAGTCCAAGGAAAGAGACTTCAGAGATGGTGGAACTGACACAAATCCAGGCATTGCAGAGCAGGGAGGGGGTGCAAAAAAAAAATCTGCTAAACTGTTGTAGCTGTGACCTGTCACCTGGGTGCTGGTTTCATCAGAACAGATGCAAAAAGCATGTCTTACTGCCTTTTTTAATGCAAGCACAGCTTATCTGGATTCAGTTCTATAGAACAATGATTGCCAAAGCCTTTACTGGTAGCCAGCTTTCAGTGTGTACTTTGGCACCTGGCAACTAGACTGTACCAGATCAAAATCACAATCAGTGCTTTTATCGGTATGACAAATAAGAGAACACAAATCTCCCTTTTGTTCCTTTGCATACTTGTCTGTGCTGTAACTTTAAAGGGCCCAACCTCAGTGGTGGTGAGAGTGAGGAGGTGGGATAGACATAACTGTAATTCCCACATTAGACCCAGCCACTCTCCAATTTGTAGTATCTGTCAGGAGAAGACAACTTGGTACTTAGCTGCACTAAAGTACAGAGTTTTAGACAGACAGAATTGGAGAAAGTTACTCTGCTAAAAAGAATAAGTGTTCCCCCCCCAAATAGGTGCAGTCATTGGGACCTCTTGTACAGTTGGTATTTAATGGGGTTGAGGATTTTGCCCTACATTAAATTGGTATTGAATGTGTGTCTCCATTGTTTGCTGGAGAAAGGTTAGAATAGCCTTTTCACCATGCATCAGAAAGGTTATGCCCCTTCAATCAAGTACTAAAGTCATTACCCTGGCAGTCTCACCAAATTCACATTTAGTTACTTATCATCTCTTTCCTAAATTGGTTCTTCAATTTTAAAGGAAAAAAGTGGTTTTTAATATTTTTCTTAACTCTTGCGTAGTATTACTGCTGTAAACTAGCTTCTTCCCCTCCCACATATGATGTGGTTGCCCCTGTTTGTTTTTTTTCTGAGATTCTTAAAGATAGGAAACAATGTAAAAATAAAAACTCATATGAGTAAGTTTGCTTATTTTCTTACATACATATTTGCTTATTTTCTTACAGTCTCCTCATGTACAAAATTTTTCAAGTACTTCAGTTTCCTAAGATGAAGTCAATTAATGTATGCAATTGTATGAATTTTGAAGGAACATTTTACATGTGCAGAACTGGAACGTGCTTAAGTTTTACACCCTCTAGTATTCAGTACTGTAGTATTATGTGAAATTGTACAGTTTGACCTCATTAATAGCCTCTGGAGATTTAAAAAAAGAAGGAAAAATAAGATGGAGACTTGATCCTTTGCCATGTTCTAAAAGTTGTTAGTACTTTTAAAAAAACGCACTGACCAATATTAGTCTTAGAAATTTAGCTGATCAGATAAGAACAAACTTTTCTAGTTGGTCTTCCAAATACAGAATTTTTGAAAAGTGACATTTCCTTTGTATTCTTTCCCACAAATTCAGAATTTAGTGCTTGAACTATATAGAAAGGAGAGAAAGAAATTGTGGTTTGCTCCCATTCTCCCTCTTCTGGCTCTCAAATACCTCTCAAGTAGAAATTAGAGAAGGGACAAATACAGTAAGACTGAATCCCCCTCCCCATCAGTTTAATGTCACCAATTTGAATCTGTGTCATGGCTGCAAGTTGCAATTTAAATGAATGTTGGCATGGCAAAGGTTTGTGATTCCATATTAGTACCTTGGAAAATGGCACAACACCATGAATGGCAGGAATGGTTGCTGCCCATTTCTGTATTTCTAGCAGACATGTCGAGGGTTGAGGGGATTTCAGCGGGATGTCTTCCAACATCAGTGATTTCAGTGGGATGTCTTCCAACATCAGTGTTGTGATGATTTGTCTTGCCTTTGTCTGTTGATGTCTGACTTGTGCATGTTTTCATGCAGGATGACCAGCCTGTGTTTGGCTCTACAGAGATTACATTTCAAAAGATCAAATTAAAAGGATTGAAATACCATGGCCCAGGCATCTCACAGTTATATGAGCTGATGAAGTATTGTTCCTATTAAATAATTAGTAGAAGAAACTATTGCTATTGGTCTTGTTGACATCAATGAGACCTGTAATTCCTCAGCATTCTCATGCAGCAACCCTCCTGCTTCTGGATTAGGGTTGTAACTGTGGTGCAAGCCTTGAAATACATTGCTTTCTAGATCCATTCTGGAATATATGGAGGAATTTTCTCTATTTTTGCTAAAGAAAGAAGATTATGGGATACTGAGGAGAAAAAACCTGAATTCTTGTATTCTTAAAGTGCATTCTCTAGAATGGTCCAAGAAATGAAAATTAAAAACCCATGCAAACAAGTTCCCAGGCAGGGCCTGCAGTTATGCATACTAACACTTGTCTTGGAATATTGGTGCTCAGTGATGCCACTCTTTTTTCCTAGGAACCTTTTTTTCTAGTTGACTGATATCAGTAGTATATTTTAATAAGAACTCCCTGGAGATCTGAGGGTGGAAAAGACAAACAAATTTTGCTTTAGTGGAAAGAAATAGTGGTACCGGGGTCCAATTTGACATTATATCAACTGTAATAACCCACAGTCTCTGGGGTGAAGAGCAGAAGTTGCTTGTATGTGTCTTCCTCTCCTCTTCTAACCATTCCTGTTTATTGTTCAACTACAGAGGGTTTTAGAAAATGATGAAAATGCAGATGAAGTGAATGAGGAAGAAGACTTGGAAGAAGATATTCCAAAACGAAAGAACAGGCCTAGAGGACGGGTAGGTGGAGAGTTTGTTGGAATGGAAGGGAAGAAAACAAACCTCTGCTTTCTAGTGTATGTTTGTTATGTGTATTATATATGCAAAATGTGTATCGATGAATGTATAATATTGATAATATTATAGTAATTTTCAGTCATATGGTCATAGATTTTTAATATTTTTTTTCAGTTTATTTTTGTGAATAACCAAGGCAAAAAAGACTATTTTGAGAGTAAAAAGTTGGGGGAAATTTATTTTAGTGCTGTATTTACAATTGCAAATATTACAATGCTCCTTAAAACAACATTTACTAATTACAGAAAAGCAACAAATTCAGTCATGACAGCCAAAAATGTATTAAGTAAAGTAACTTGAATTATGTTAATAAGTTTTGCAGCTTTCTCTAGGGTAGCATTTTGTGGCTGACTTTGGCCCTCTTGAGCCCATGGCAAATCTTCCATTTGCTTAAAATGGGCAATATTTTATCCTTAGGGGACTCTGTGTCCCTTCTTTTACCTAAGATGTCTTCACAATTCATCAGGGTATCAGTCAAGTAATGAGGCCAACATTTTAAAACTTGGAATCAACATTTTCAATTTTGGCCCCATGAGCCAGGCATCTAAATGAACACAATTCTCAGAAGTTTTGAGCATTTTCATCTCTCTTTGGCTCCAGTGGATCCTGCAGGGGCACAGGAGCTCTAGACAAACCTTTTGATGTGCTTACAGAAGTCAAGCAAGAAGGGCCACATTTTAGGCCAAATGAGCAGAAAATAATGACTTTTGAATGAGAGACATGAAACCACATTGAATACTCACAATGTACTTATGCATCAGACCCTCTCTTTTGGTTTCTTCTGTTGTTGTGTTGTTTCAGTTTTCTGCTCCTCTTTATTTTGGAGCTTAAGTCCTTTAATATAAGATCAAAGCACTTTAATAATTGGATAAGTATATATTTCACCTTCCTTATTCTCAAAATCACCTGAACCAGTTTCTTTCTTTCTTTCTTTCTTAGCCAAAGACCCCCACCTGGAAAAAAATTTTCCAAAAAAATGTAAGTTTCAGAAAATTTGTATGAACCAGTAACCAAAACCAGGAGATAGAATCAATACATGCACACAAGCTTGATTGTAGTGATCAACTAATATTCCAGGCTAACAATTATTTTCTAATAATTACATAAATTGTGCATGCTGGTTAGGGTGAGTGAAAGGAAGTGAATAGCTAAAAGAGATACACTGCTCAGGAGAAGGGAATTTGGTGTATTCGTATGTCCTAGACCTACACAAACAAAGTCCTGAATTTAATGTTACATGCAAAGTTTTACTTCCCCCATTCGTGAAAATGTTACAGAATAACTCTGTTACTGTAGTGGAGGGAGTCAGAGGGTACTAGATGTCCCATTCATTTTGAAGCAAAAATTTATGTGTTATTTTCTGCCCTAGAACCAGACTCCTATTCAGTACAGGAGCAGCAGGATCTCTTGCCTTTGTCTTGCAACTAATGCCTGCTTTGCTAGTGCCCTGGCTTCTTTCAGTGAGAAAAAGAGAAGTCTGAAGAGTGACAAATGCTTTGAGCAATTCTTTTTTTTTATTTGATGGCATCAAGAACCAAAGCAAAATGTGATAAAAATTAGGATTTCAAAATTAGGGCCAGGTTATCTAGCTGTTGAAAACTGGTAAGCCTGAATTGTCTGGTCACAAGTGTTTCACCACTTTTCTGAAAGCAGCCCTTTTCTAATGTGAACCTGACCCAGTACAGGGAATTGAGGCTAGGGATATGAAATTAGGGGACATGAAACCTGGGCAGCTCTTTGTTTCTGGGAAGGAGTGTTTAGAGTATTTTTAGAGGGCAGAAGAGGGGAAGGACATGCATAGGAAACTAGATCCTGCCGAGTGTGACCTTTGGGGATTCAGAGAAGGAGTGACAGCATCAATGCAGGATTAATGCGACGGAATTACTGCTCTGGACTTTCCAAATTGCACATGCCCCTTCTTTTCCCTACAGCATGATTTTATTTTTAATCCTGGACTCTCCATCTGTCCCTTTGGCTACTCTCTCTGGCTGCTTCAGGGCTGCTTCAAGGCTGCTGTGCTATGGCTTCCAGGCCTCACATGTCAAGCCTTGTAGTCTTTGCTGCATCCCATCAGGAGAATGAAAGCAGTCATGGATGACTGAATTCAACAGCCTGGAGCACTGACAGCAAGCACGAGGCACTCAGTTTAGTGCCTCTGGGGCAACTGCTTGGTTTCCTTTCCCCTCAAGGCTAGCCCTGAAATCGTGGGAGCGTTAGGAAGGACACTGAAGGCCAAAGAGGTGGATTTACGGAGGCAGCTTTTTAGTATCTTTGCTGGACTGGGACATTGTGGTAGGAGCTGGAAAGGGTAGTTTGCTAGGAGATATGAGATGAATGCAACTGCACCTGTACAGATTGTCTGCTCATCAGCTGGATATCCCATGGGACAGTTTCAAAGGCACTAAAGACATTTAGTAACATAAGTCCCATTGAAAGTCACTGACTTGAAAAATCTCCCCCTGTGTTTACTGCATGAAAAAGTGTATCTGACATGTGGTCATGACATGAATGGTGTACCCCTACATTTGTGTAGAGAACAGTTTGAAGGGAAACAGCTGGCTATAAGACTAGCAAAACTCTGGGCAACAAACCTTAAATTGCCATCCTATTCTGAAAGGTACCTACGTAAAAATAGTAACTTCTTACTCAACAGATATGTTCCCAGTGTGTAAAGAGAGTCAGAGCTGACAAGTGACAAATATATGACTTTACATCTTTTTCACAGCCTCAAAAAGCCAGTGCAGCTAGTAGGTTAGGGAAATTAGATCCTAATCCAGGTACCAGCAGAAATATTTATTAAGGACCAAACACTTGTCTCTGTGAAGACTCTCTGATGACTTGAGGGTTGTATAGGAGCTGCCATGGACTGAAATTTACCTTGCAACACATTTTACAGCAGTGAGGGAAGAAAGGAACTAGCCTGGGATTGATTTCATTGCCCAGAGGGGGTTTACAGAGCTGGCAATGAGAGAGAAAATACTACAGACTAGTAAGATGATTTTATGTGATATGGTCAGTAAAGTAGCTTCCACCAAACAATTGTTGCTGGGACCTTTTCCAGGGTGAAACTGCTTTTCAGTTCACCCTTACAAATCTTGCTCTGCACATGTGTGCTGGTCTGCACAGAGGTCTTTGCAGAAGGCAGAGTTATACGTGTCATACCTAATAGTATTTACCCCTTCTAGACAGCTGAAAACCCATGTTTTTCGTTCAAGACTGTGTTAAGAGTTAGCCCTAAGCAATCCCAGGGAAATAATGTGTGAAGGTTTTATAAACCCCTGTTTTGACATTGTCAGGCCAGTGTAAAATGTTTCCTTGTTCCTTGTCTTTAATGTCCAATGGAACACAGCTCTAACAGTGCTAGTTCTGTTCCAAATGCATAGAAGAGGGACAGAGTTTTTACATCCCCTTTATGTCTGGGTACTAATACTCTTAGAATTTCTACACCTTCTTCAGCTTTATCTAACAAAGTTCTGTCCCTTTCTTATTTTCACATGCAAAAGCTTGCGGGATTTCAGTCAGGTGGCCTTGTCTAGAGTGAGGAATATCAACAGTTTAATAAGAGAAGCAGCAGAAGCAATTCTGTGCTTTTATCCAGGAATAGAGTAGCTAACAGAATTAATAATGGGCTAGTTAGCCATCCACCTGTGATCACTTCCTCAAACAAAAACCAGGTCTAAAATGATTGCAATTTATAGACTGTACATTGGTGAACATGAAAGAATCAAAGGCCTTGGTTCAGTTCCCAGTTTCACATCACAGATCTCTCCCCCATTGGACAGATACGAACTGTCCCTTTGTTGGCATGTCAGCTGAGAAGGGTCAGGACCAAGTAGCTTTGATGCTGAATTCCACTCTCACCCCTGGAGGTAAAGATAGAGCAGTCTGTGCTGTGGAGAAACAGAGCTTTTCAGTTTCCAGAGCTGCCAGCCTGGTCCGCTGTAGGAACACAGAACTGCAGAGAAACCTTGCTGGGTAATTCCTGTCTTGCAGGTAGCCCGGTAGCCATGTTACTTAATTTTTTCCACTAACTTACCAAAGCTCCATATTATATGGTATCTTTGTCCCAGCAGGTCATTTCAAAACATTGCTTTTCAACTAGAAAACAAAGCACAACAACACAAACAACCCCCTTTTGAAAATATTAAAAGAAATAATTTGACTTCTCTTTTATTTGGGGGCTGTTTTCTGGCTAATTTAATGTTTGTATTTATCCTCTAACACCTGTTCATCTATTCATTCATTCATATTCAGTAAAGCAAGATATTTGAACATCTTCAGAAATGAATGTGTGATGATCCTCAACTGAATATGTGCTGGCAGTGACCTACTGCCAGGGATGAACAGTTTGGGGTATCTGTGGAGAGGATCTCCATTGCATTCCAAGGTCCATTAACATAGTGTGTATCTTAGGAGGTGAAGGGTCAAGATCACCTTTGAGAAACCTGTATGGAAGCTGAGGATTTGTTTAGTTTATATTGCACATTTTTCATAGGAGGGTGAGGGGCACAAGGAGACCCGAGGGGTGATGGAATAATGCTAACATTCCTCTTGTCCTTGCAGGCTCGGGGATCTGGAGGTGGCAGGAGACGGAATGATGCTGCCTCCCAGGATGATCACGACAAACCCTATGTTTGTGACAGTAAGTAGCACCCAGACAGCTGATTCTGCTTCCAGCCTGGTCCTACCAGCTCAGTGCACTCAGGGCTTCATTTTTTCCCTTCCAGCAAAATATTCTGCTGCTCTCTGACTTGCATGTTTGCCACCTGCTGCTGCTGCTGCTGCTGCTGCTCTTGGTGTTTTTGCATGAAAGAAATAAAATTAAGTCCTCAGCAAGACTCCACTTCCCTTTGCCCTTTAATAAATGATCTCTTACATTTTCTTTCTCCTTCTCTTTTTCTGGCTTCTCTGCCTTTTGTCTTCTTTCCCCCCATGTAAGTTTCACCCTCTATTTCTTTCTCTGTTTCAGATAGTTACAAACAAAAGCATAACTCAAAAATCTCCGACAAAGGTACTTCACCCTCATTGTATCTCTTGATATACTTGGTGATTCTCTTTCCTTCAGTCCTTTTAAAATCTCTAAATCTGGGCTAAATTCTGAAGGTCTTGTTCTTATCCCTCACTCAGAAAGTACTCTTGTGGCATCATTAAAAGTTGAGCCCTTCTAAGAAACAAATAACATCTGGAATGCCTTGTTTTGATACATATTCTCCTTGAATATGTATGTTGACCATAATGGCCATGCTGTTTGACATCTTGCAGTTGGACTGCAGGTTAAGTAAGGCGTTGCTCCAACTGAAAATTTATACTAGAGCGCAATGCTGACACTGAAGGAGGATAGCAGAGTCCTAGTATGAGGGAAGAATCCGATATTTGTTACACAAAGGTTTGAGGGTTTTAAATAGTCTAGTTCTTGGTGCTTTCCTTCTTTTGATACTCTTTGCTTCACTAGGTTATTTCTTTGAAGAGCACTTATCTTACCCACGTGTTTTCTTTTTTAAACATCCCATCTTAAGGCTTACTGTAGAGTGTACATGCGATTGTCATTTGTGCTACCAGGTGCCTTCTAGCCTATAAGAAAATATCCTAACAAAAGTTAATAGTAGGAGATCTTAACTTCTGTGATCCAAAACTAATGGTTTTGAGGACAACTAGCATCCTACTTTTTCTACTATTTGCCAATCTTATGTTACTGACTTTAAATGGATAACCTTTACTATGGTAATCTATGGGGGTATTTTCTGCTTATTTTTAAAAACATGAAGAAATAAGGAGCATGCATGGTAAATAAGAACTATATTCCATGTGATGCACTCATATTCTTGTATGGTGAGACCAGGTGACTGCACCATACAGTGATGGATATGTTAGATATTTTGCTTCAGCAAGATGAATATTTCAAGGGCAGTGAGCAGAAATGGAAAGACATGAATGGGGCTGTATAAACACATGCTCAAGGAGGAAGAGCCCTTTAAAATATGAAGAGTCAGAAGACTTATGCTGGGGTTAAATAGCTGTCCTGGCTGGTGTGTTGGAAGCACTAAAATGTGTCTTCTAAAATTTCCCCGAGAGCTCAGGATGTATCTTGCTGAAACCCATAGGTTTCCTCTGCTGGTATATGAATAACTTTCTCTATCTATTTTCTGGAACAGCCTTCTAAATCCAAGGACACTTGTCAGTGGTAGTCATTTGGAACATAATGACTCTTTACTGTTTGGTCTTGCATTGCTTTTGGATTTTACCAAGAACTCACAACATGCATAGTAGTGATTTGCACAGGGTAAATTAAACATTGAAGATATCAAAGCAGGCAGCAGAAATCTGGCCTGAAGTCAAGACTCTGGTACATTGTTGTATTGATGGAATTTTGCCTTGGCTTATATTTTGGAGCATAAATTTACCCTTTGGTTTTGGAAATATAAACTTTCCTATTTCATTTGGCTGATACATTTCATTTTTAGGAAACTTATAGTTAGAGTCATAGGGAGCTCTGGAATCCAGACTTTGCACTGCGACTCCTCCTTTTCCATTGTAGATAGCTGAGAAAAGGGTTATGTGATAGCAGAACTCTTTTACCTGACTGTGGAGCAGAAGGAAAGAACTGTCCCAATTGGAATGTCATCATCCCGAAGTACTATCCTGCCCTTGTTAACTTTCTATAGAAATATTACACACAATTAATGATGAATAATTAGCCAATTGGCTTATTATCGAAGCCTCTTTTCTACTAGGGTAGATTTCTTAAATCAATTTTTTTCTTTGAAATTATTTGCTAAATATTTTCATAGATAAAAGTCTAATTGTGGTAGGTTAGAAGTTGGTTTGCAGAACTCCATGTACAGATGTTTTGGGCAGATAGGTTTGTTTTACCTGGAAACATGAAGGTGAAAAACAGTGAATGTATTCCCTGTTTGGGAGAACTTGATTTCTTCAATCATATTACTGGTATAAAAAATTACCTTAATGGGTCAGCAGTTTACTTTTTCTGTATATTATTTAACTTGCCTCCAGCTTGCTTTTTCTGCAAGCATTCTGATATTTAAGTTTTGAAAATGGCCACAAAGAAGAAAGGATAAACATAGCTAAACCAAATTAATTTTCGTATTAAACTGCATGGGCACAAAAAATGATTTGTGGTGAAGAACTTTTGTAGACTTACACATTCATATTTATGTGAAACAAGAATGTATCCCCAGCTTTTATTGGTAATAAAAAAGTTATAGGAAAAAAATAGTCTGTGTGTCAGGAAGATGATGCAATACCCAGCTGACACTGCCCCTTGTGTTTGAAGATAGCAATGCTATTAGTGAAAAGGCCTGCCTTTTTTGTAAGAGACGTTCAGCTATACACCAGTATAAAACTGACTAAAAGTACAGAATTTTTATATGGATAGAAGGTTTTCAAAGCTCAAAATGTTTTGTCATCCTGTGTTTTTTTTTAAAAAGTGGTTGGTTTCTTGTTTTGTGGAATGAAATATTCTGAAATACTTCAGTTGATTTTATTGAGCATATATTGTATGAGAAGTTCAGAATAAAATGTTTGACCAAAGCATCAGTAAAATTGCTAGAACAATCACTAACTTCTTCGTTTCATCAAATCACTAAGTAGAAAACTTGTTGGTCAGGTTTTCAACCAGTTGCAGTGGATAGCATTGTGCCTTGATAATATGCTCCAATCATGAAAGTGGCAGGACAGCCTAGTGTGAAATGGGTACAGGCTGGAAATGGTACCATAGCCAAATGACTCAGCTGTATGAGACCAGTCCCAAACCCAGTCTGAACACCTGGCTGGGACATACAGCAGATGCCTCAAAAGGAGCAAGCAAAGCTTCCGATGTCAAGCAAGAGAAGTGGAAGATACGCCACCCCCACTGTTCATGATAAACTGAGCATGTGATTTTTGAAGGAGGGACAGAGTGAATGAATGAATGAATGAATGAATGAATGAATGAATGAATGAATGAATGCATGTTATGTCAAATATTTACCTGGGGAACCATTATTTCTGCTAAGCAGTTTTCTTAAAAATCCTTCTACTATTTTCATAATGTATATTATATATTATTATATATTATTTACTACTTTTTAAAAAGAACAACCTTCTCTGAAATTTTTTCTAAAAACTTGTATTTTGGTTTAAAAGTTGCAATCAGTTGTAGCACCTGAGCTTTATGACTTCAAATGTCTATTTCCTTTAGACAGAGCAGTTAGTTTGTGCTGAATCTCTGCAAGTTATTAACTTTCCTGCTATCCCTCCTCATTTGTCTGCTTTCATTCTTTTCAAGTTCCCATGGAGACATGGGACTATGTCCACCTTTGTTGTCCCTCTATCTGTGCAAGATTTCCCTTGCCCATCTCTAAAAGGAATTGTTTCTTTCTTCTCCTTTTACCAATATGTTCTTGTCTCCTTTAAATTTTATTCCCATATAAATTTCTAATTTAGCATAGCAACTTATATTTGTATTGTATCTTTTTTTCACAGTCCCTCTGAGTCTGAGCTATGCATTCAGATCCATTCCGTGTGCAAAATGAGAATTTACTGAAACCTTCCTATGATCTCTGATGGATCAGTGACTAATGCAACACTGTATGTACCCAGAGACACTGATCCTATAGTGTTTTTTAGAAGCTGATTCTTTTGTGAAGAACTTAATTTTCAGGTTTCTCTAGTTATTTAACACACATTTTCTCTGCCACAGTCCAAGACTAGCAGTCCTTGCACTGTTCTCAATGGATAATAATGTCTTCTACTTCTGTAAACAGTTACTGGGACTTCTTCCAGCTGTGTTTTCATCAGCTCTTTACTGAACTTATTTCTTTTATCTGCAAAACCACAAAGGGTGTTTTTTAAGTAGCAGTGGCCAAAACTAAGTTGAATGCACTGTTCTGAGGATACAAGCACTTCAGAAGAGGAATGGTTGATACATTTACATGTACTTACAATTACTTAAAGAAATGGGTTTTATGCAACTTGCTCTGTGTCTATAAGAGGTAGAGATGGCTAACCTAACAGGTTGTTTAGTAAAGCCTTCTTCAGTGCAAGATGCTTCTCTCCAGTTCTGTGTCGTGTTTCAGTGGCAAAGGAGTTTTCAAACTTGTTCACCATGTGTATTCATATTTAATATACCATTTGCTATAGCTTCTTGTTCCTTCCCTATTCAACCTGTTTCTACTCAGGCAGATTATCATGTTTAGTATCCTCATTATACTGCTTCATCCTGTTTATACTGTGTTTTATTTATTGATACAAGGTGTCATATTAATATGTATTAATTAAATTACTGTTTGAAAGAATTCTTTGATCAGTGAATCTCATATGATATATTTTTATTATTATTCCAGTATTTTCACCAGCAATCCATTCTCTGCATGTTTGATTCTTTTACTATCTATTCCACCCTTCATATTAATGATAAAACCACAGGCAAGCATTGGGTCCAAACAGGACTCTTTCAGGTGCTTGAAGATGCAGAAAGGTGCCTTGTGAAGGTTTAAAAAAATTGGGATCCTAATTCTCACTGATTTCAGCTGGAGGTAAAACTAAACTGTTTTCCCTAGATAACTCACTAAGTGCCTATCTGCTTGTGTTATGCCTATAGTCCCTAAATGAACACTTTGAACTTGTCATTGAATTACTAATAATTATTCAGAACATAGATTTGTTTTAAAAGTGCTTGACTCTACATCCTAATCACTATAGCTTGAAACATCCTTCTGCTTTTTCTGTAAGTTCATCATGCAACGAGGCATAAAAATGTCATTATTTTGAGGTTAATCTTTTTCTTCCCCATCCCCTTTCTCTACTAAACATATTTTAGGTTCTGCCAACAAAAGGCTGGAGTCTTCAGGTAGCTTAATTGATTTAACATGAACAGATTCCACTGAGTTTCAATTGATACAGAGCATCCCTCTTCTTTAGTTTCCTTAGAAAATCCCAGTTAAATGTTATATTGTTCTTGCATGACTTGCCAAATGCAGTTCCTTGAGGTCTAATCTTTAGGAACTATTTTAT